ATAAACGAGACCCTGTCTCAAAACAAATAAATGTAGCTCAGTGTCAAGACTCAGGACCACAAAAACAAAAACACATATTGGGGGGCTGAGAGTTTAGCTCAGTGGCACAGCGACTGCCTGGCAAGCATGAGGTTGTGAGTTCCATTCCCAGTACTGGAAAAACAACAACAACAACAACAAAAACAAAAACACATATTGGGTCATATCATTTATCTGCTTAAATTTTTCCAGTGGCCCAGTATTAGTGCACTTGCCTAGCATTCGTGAGGCCCTGGCTTTAATCCCTGGCACCCCACCCCAACACACACCCTCCAGTTGTTCTCAGCAACTAGTCCTGAGAACAGAAGGAAAGTGTTTGGGCTGATCCAGAGCTGGGCATGCAGAACTGCCAGGAGCTGTGGAGTTGAGCCGGGTGGATACAGACAGCCTGGGAGATATAAAAAGAGTCCACCCTAGGGGTGGGGTGTGAGGAGAGGACAGGAGGGGAAGACAGAGCCCGCCCAGGGTTGGGATGGCACAGGCGATGTTCTGGGTGAGACTCGGTTGACAATGGATACACTGAAGGGTTTTCAGGTTTTGCAGCAGACTTTCTCCTCTTTCTATAAATGGCGCCACCTCCCACCCAGTCACCCAGTGTGAAGCGTGAAATCACCCTACGCGTTCAGTCTTCCCCTCCCTCACACGGAGTTGGCCATCAGACCCTTTCAACGGCATTTTTCAAACAGCCCTTGATTGCAATTGTGTTGGTTGAAAAAACTCAAAATTGCTTACAGCAGTTAGTTTTGGTCCGAATAATCCACGCCTTTGGCCCATTCTCCCTTAAAATGCAACTCACACCCTGTTTCAACTCCCAGGTTTCCATTCTCTCACTGGTTTTCCATTGCTGCAAGGTGCGCTTACCACGGCAGACAAAGGCCTTGTAATATGACTACTGTTTCGCTCTCCAACTTCATTTTTACTTCTTTTCCAAAGCCATCTGTTCTATTTATAGCTCCCGAGGACTATGTGTTTCTCTGGCTTCTGTGCTTTAGTCACATAATTCCTTGTGATTAAAGGTTCTTGAAAAGATCTGTCTTTTCTTGGATCTTACTTTCTGAAGATCGCTCATATCTGCAGAGATATGAGAACCTTTATTTCCTTCCGCAGGGGATTTCACTGTCAGAGTGTAACTCCCGGCGCATGCGCCTGGCGGGGACCTGATGGTCAGGAGCTGCAGAGGCAGAGGAGCGTTCGTTCCACCCTTGAAGCCCAGAGCTACTATAAGGTCCAGCACAGCCCATGCTCAATGGATATTAGTGAATGAGCAAACGCTGCCCTCACGCTGGCAGGAGTTAGGGTGGAGGCTGAAGTCCTGGCTGAACTTGAGAGCCATAATCGTCATCTTTTGGGGGGGCATTCCTTGCCTGTTCGTTGGTTGTCCCGCAGGCCTATCCTCACCCCAGTGTGCACAAGTGATGGCATTAAGCGATCCCACCCCTCTGCTGGCTCGCCAGGGACCCACAGCTTGTGTGGCCAGACCTGAAATGATGAGCTGGGCTAATGTGATTCTCTCCTGAGATCGGGAATTGGGAAACAGACTGAAGAGATTAACAACACAGGAGCATGGGTTAAAAGGATGTATGGAGAACTCTAAGAAATAGACTGCACAAACTGCAGAGTGGCCAGGGCACACCGTTCCCATCGGACACAGGCTTCACCGTTCGTTCTGTGCGGCTTACACCTGGCCAGCTACAGCACCTCGGTTCCCACGCCCGCTGGCCTGGGCGGCAGTCTGGTACCTGTGTGCACAAGGGACAGGTGCACCTGGTGTACAGAGGCCTTGGCAGGAAAAGGAAGCCAGGCGAGGGACTGGGAACAGGAAGGAAAGGGAGGACACAGGCCCAGGAGAGGAGAACTCATCCCCAGAGGTGCTTGGAGGCCTGTGCTTCCAGGTCCTCTACCCGCCCTCAGTCATCCTCACCATAACCCCCTTTCTTTGAGATAATTTGCAATGTAATTAGACTAACACTGGAAGTTACAGGGAAATTAGAGGATGTCAGCAAGGAGGAAAGCAAGACGGTGGTATGGCTGGGACATCAGCCTCAGACAAGGGGGGATTTTTTAAGGAAACATTTTATTGGTACATTTTAGATTTACATAATGATCACATTCATCATAGAGAATGTGTACCTGTACATGATATAATTTGATTCTTTTCTCCCTATTCCCTCCTTTCAGCCCCTCCTTCCCTCCCCATTTACAAAAGCTTTGTTTCCATTTTTCCTTCTTTTCTCTCTCTTTTTTGTACTTTTCGCTTCTTTCCTTACAAGGGGAAATTCTTGCATGAAGATGTAGTGTGAATTATAAGCTGTTGGGAATTAGGCTCCTGCTATGTACCCTGCCTCCAAAACAACCTCTGCTCAAAAGGCTTCTCAGAGCTGGCCATGGCAGTGGATGCCTGTAATCCTAGCTACTGGGGAGGCTGAAGCAGGAGGAGCAAGTTTGAGGCCAGCCCGGGCAACTTCTTAGCAAGATCCCCCTCAAACAAAACAAAACAAAACAAAACAAAAAAACTTCAGACTCTTCAGAGGAAATCAGAAGCATTCTGGGAAAGGCTGCTGGTGTCCAGGATTCCAGAGGGCTTGGAGGGAGGAACAGAGAAATCTAGGAAGAAGAAATTTGGGAGAGATTTAAGGTTTAATAATTTATATCCTGTTAGACTGTGGAGTGGGCCTGGTGACTAACATTTATCGTGTTTTGAAAAGAGACATCTGCATTTCAGCAAAAGGAGAAGAATTCCAGAGGAGGTGGTATTTGAGCTGTGTTTTAATGAGAAGAAAGGGAGTCAGGTGTGGGGATGTATGCCTGTAATCCTAGTACATTGGGAGGCTGAGGAAGGAGGATCACAAGTGTGGGCCCAGGCTGGACAATCAATTTAGCCACTTAGTGAGACCCTATCTCAGTCAATCAATCAATCAAAAATAAAGTAAAATAAAAAAAGGCCGAGATGTAGCTCAGTGTGAGCACTCTGCATTCAAATTGCCAGTATGCAAGAGAGAGAGAGACACAGACAGACAGACAGAGACAGAGAGAGACAGAGACAGAGACAGACACACTCAGAGACAGAGACACACAGAGACAGTGTTCTGGAGCCTGTGTTTGGCCTGAGTCACCTTTCAAGTTACTTTATGGCTCGGAGCCCCAGTTTCCATTATTACAAGATGAAGGTAATAATAGTGTTTAATCTAAGACCCATGGCTTCCACCTCACCCCACTTTTTAATTTTCTGGAGGAGTGATATTGGGACCTGAACCCAGGGGCACTTTACCACTGAACCACATCCCCAGCCCTTTTTGTTTTTTATTTTGAGATAGAGTCTTGCTAAATTACCCAGGCTACTTCAGCCTGCCTCAGCCTCAATTATCCAGGGCTGCTGGTATTACAGGTGTGAACTATCAAGCCCAGTGTTATGTTTCTTAATTCAGGACCTATTTTATAGTTGACACTTGAAAATACTGGCTTTGTCACAGGTCAGAGAAGAAAAACTGCGACAGTGTCATCACTCAGTGGACATATGCAAATTTAGCCACCTGCAGGAACAAAAAAAAGTGTTTTACAATTAGTTTAGAAATAGCCAACTTGTGTGGTAAGTTTGATAAAGAAGTCATAGTGCTAGGGGAGGTTGGCCTGACTAGTGGATATGTCTGAGGACAGTGAACAGTAAACAGTCCCTGGTTTTTAGCTATGAAGAGAAGCCTATAGACTACAGAGACATAAAATGCAATTAAAAAAATGAAACAAAGTTTATAACCAAAGAAGAAACATATACAATGCATATGTATCTTTGAAATGTTTCAACATTATACTGCTACTTTGTAAAGGTGCATTATACTGCTACTTTGTAAAGTAGATCAAGCTATAACCATAGGCTATGAAAAACAGCCTGCTGTCATGCTATCTTTAAGCACAGGGTCAAAGGTTAAACTAAGACCTTAGAGTTAGTGAAGGAGAAAGGGCTTAGATTTCACCTTTGATTATGGCCTTGAGGCAGAAAATTGTACAATTACAATAACCAACACTTACTGAATGATAACTCTGTAGCACTGTGTCAACTGGGCAATTTATCAGATCAGCGGTGTTAGCTTCATTTTAAAGTGAGAAAGCTAAGAGGTAGATTCAGGGTTTGCCTCCAGATTCTCACTCAGGGACATTGTACTGTTAAAACACTCTGATTACGGACACAGCTATGCTTTTAAAGTTGGTTTTAGGCAGGTGTGATGGTCTTGTAATCTTTGTACTCTGAGAGGCTGAGGCAGGAGGAAGCCAGCCAGGGAAACTTTAGTGTTTTATCAAGACCTTATCTCCAAAAAAAAAAAAAAAAAAAAAAAAAGGTTTTAAAAGTATGAAAACAGGGCTGGGATATAGCTCAGTGACAAAGCACCTGCATGTGGAGTGTGACGTCGTGAGTTCGATTCCTAGTTAAGAAAAGTATAAAAATATAAGGTAGTTATTGTATGTTTCTCAATCAATGGCATTGTAAAATCAAGGAGTATGGTAAATATCGGCCTTGTAGGATTAATGTGAGGATCGGGTGATGAACATCTTTTTGGTTTTTTGAGAACTCACTATGCAGCCCAGGCTGGCTTCAAACTCAGGGACCCTCCTGCCTCAGTCTCCCCAGTAGTGGTGGCGTGGGCCACCATGTAGGTAGGTAATAAATATCTTAAAGTGCATTTAGAAAACCTGTGTTTAAGAGGGACAGTTGTTGCGAAGTGGTCTTCACAATCCTACCAAGGCAGAACAAGCAAACACTGCTGTAAGCAAAGCGTCAGGAGAGCTGTCTTCTGCGGTCGCAGACAGCAGCTCCTCGCGAAACGCCCTGCCTCTCCTGGTCTGCATCCTTCTATCCTTCCACACTCATCTGAAACACCAGCCCTCTCAGGAAGTGGTCTCTAGCGCCTGAAAAGATGTATGTGGGAGCAATTTTCAAGTTATGAAGCCATGGAATCAACCAGTGAAAGATGCATTTTATCACTGAAGTTGCCCTGGTTCTTTCCCTGGCCTCCGTTCCTCTAAACTGAAAGGAAGCTGTGCCTTCGCCCTAGTGCTTCCATTTATAATTTCTGCCACTGTCCCCCAGATCTTTGTCCGTACCACTTTAAGCAGAAAGTTCCGCCCCCAGACCCACAGAAGGCCGCCCCTCCCGCGGGTAGCCCGGTGGGGCGGAGTCTCTGCGGGAAGCGCTGCGCTCGGGCACGTGACTTCCTTCCCCAGGAGCCTGCGCTGCCGGCCTCCCAGCAACCGGCGCGTCCCGCCTAACGACGCCCGCGCATCCCCGTTGGCGGTCGGGGGCGGTCGGTAGCAAGCGGGTGCCCACGGTCCCACTGCTCATTGGCTCGCGCTGTCGTCGCTCAGGCGCGTTTCCCAGCGCCCGCGGGCGGTGCTGCCGGAAGCCCCTCCTCCTGGCCGCCGGGTTCCTGGCTGGGTGGCGGCGGCTGTCACTCCGGGCCGTTTCCCCTCGGTCGGCGCTCTGCTGGGGGCGGGGGAAAGAGGGGCCGGGACTGGGGCTCGAGGAGGTGTCGCCGTCTTCACGGCTGCTATGACCGGCGGGCGCTGGGCCCTGCACAGCTCCGCGCAGCGCTAGTCGCGGCCGAGCGCCCCTCCGGAAGCCGTCAGGGTCCCCAGCGCGGCCGGACCTGCGGCCCCTCGGCGCTCCGGGCGCCGCCTGCGAGGCGAAGCGAGGCGAGGCAGGAGATGAAGATGACGGTGGATTTCGAGGAGTGTCTGAAGGACTCGCCCCGCTTCAGGTACTCGGCCCGGGAAGCAGGGGAAGGAGGGGGAGCCGAGGGGCGCCGGGCTGCCGCGCCCCCGCCCGGC